AATCTTTTTAAAAAAATGAATCAGAGACTTCAATGTAAGAGCTAAAACTATAACAATCTTTTTTTTAAGATTTTATTTATTTATTTGAGAGAGAGAATGAGATAGAGAGAGCATGAGAGGGGGGAGGGTCTGAGGGAGAAGCAGACTCACGGCTCAGCAGGGAGCCCGATGAGGGACTCGATCCGGGGACTCCAGGATCATGACCTGAGCCGAAGCCAGTCGCTTAACCAACTGAGCCACCCAGGCACCCAAAACTATAACAATCTTAAAAGAAAATGTAGGAGTAAATCTTTGTGACTCTGGATTAAGCAGTGGTTTTGTAGATAAAATACCAAAAGCAAGAAAGGAAAAATAGCTAAGTTGTATCACATCAAAATTTTAAACTTTTGTTCTGCAAGTGATACTATGAAGAAAGCAAAAAGTCAACCAAGAGAATTAGAGAAAATATTAACAAATCATGCATCTGATATGGGAGTTGCATCCAGAATATATGCAACCCAATTATAAAAAAGACAAATAGCTTAAATAAAAAATGAGCAAAGTATCTGAATAGATATTTCTCCAAAGAAGCTACACAAATAGTAGATATTCATATGAAGATGAAAATGTAAGTCAAAACCACAGTGAGATACCACTTCATACCAACTAAGATGGTTATAATCAAGAAGACAGCCATTAACAAGTGATGATGAAGATGTGGAGAAAACGTAATGCTAAGTGAAAAAAGCCATCAAAAAAGACCACATATTTGGGGCGCCTGGGTGGCTCAGTTGGTTAAGCGACTGCCTTCAGCTCAGGTCATGATCCTGGAGTCCCAGGATCGAGCCCCACATTGGGCTCCCTGCTCATCAGGGAGTCTGCTTCTCCCTCTGACCCTCCCCCGTCTCGTGTTCTCTCTCTCATTCTCTCTCTAATAAAAAAAAGACCACATGTTCTATGATCCCCTTTTTTTCTTTTAAGATTTTATTTATTTACTTGAGAGAGAGAGAGAGTGAATGAGAGAGAGAATAGGAGCAGGGGCAGAGGGAGAGGGAGAAGCAGACTCCCCTCCTGAGTCTGAGATCATGACCTGAGCTGAAGGCAGATGCTTAACTGCTTAATGGACTGAACCACCCAGGCACCCCTCTATGATTCCATTTATATGAATATATAGAATAGGCAAGTCTGTAGGAACACTATAGATTAGTGATTGCCTTGGGCTGCAAGGAGCATGGGAAGAGACAAACTGAAGGGTAGCTGCTAATGGGTACACAATTTTTATTTAACAGGGGAGAAAAATAATGTAAAATTTGATTGTGTTGATGGTTGTACAACTCTATGTATATACTAAAGATATTTAACTGTACACTTTAAGTGGGTGAATTGTATGATTTATAAATTGTATTTTAATAAAGCTAATTTTAAGGAAATCAGCATGGGTACTTTTATAAATCTACATGCCCAGGCTGAAGCGCATGTCAGTGAGATCACTCCCTTGTGGTGGAATCCAAGTATCAGTATTTTATAAAGCTCTCCAGGTGACTGCATTGTGTAGCCAAGGTCAAGACTCATTGCTCCAGAAGCAGGTCTAAACTACATGAGTTTCTAAGTTAGGAAACTCCAAAAGAGTTCCGGTCCCTTGTTAGAGGACTCCAGGAGACTTCCTCCAATCTTGCTACTCAAAGTGTGGTCCTCAGAGCGGCAGCAACAGTACTACCTGGGAACCTGTTGGAAATGCAGATTCCAGGGGCACCTGGGTGGCTCAGTCAGTTAAGCGTCTGCCTTTGGCTCAGGTCATGATCCCAGAGTCCTGAGATTGAGTCCCACATCAGGATCCTTGCTCAGCTGAGATTCTGCTTCCCCCTCTCCCTCTGCGCCTCCCCCACTCTCTATCCCTGAAAATAAATAAATAAAAAACATTTTTAAAATCTTAAATTTTTCTTGATTACAATAACAATATATGCTAGTTGTAGAGATCAAAAGTCCTCAATAACCTCACCCCACCCATCTGTCCACTCCAGTTAAGTTTGGTGTATATTTTTCCATATTTCCATAATTACTTCACATGTTGGTATGCATCTTTTAAAAAATCCACCCAGAGATTTTCTAAAATCCATCATTTTCCAAAAGGCTAGCCCCAGGGAATTGGTACATGGGCTTATCTGGGGTTTTAACAACTTTTTGTATTTTGAGGTGAAGTAACTCAAGATTTATGGTATTTTATTCAGTTCCCTAAATGTACATTTGGTTTCCTTGATTCATTTAATAATTTGGAGTGACCACCCAGGTGTCCTAATGCCCCTAATGGAGTGACTAAGGATGTTTGGTCATTGTTTTAATTACTAATCACATACTGTGTCTTCTTGACTCATATCAGTAACCACATCCTTATCAAAATATTCTGATTACTACATTTTAAAAAGTAGTGTCACAACACACTTAAGAACTGGCTGTTTTTTGTTTTGTTTTTGTTGTTGTTCCTGTTTACATCATGGTGATTCTACCTCTGAAGATTTTTCCTAGCAAGTGATCCGTCACCAGGATTGCTCACAGACTCCAGTATTCAAAATGTCATCTCTTAAGTTTCCTTATTTTGAAATATCCATAGCTCTTCTGAGTAATGCAAAAAATATGAATGAATGAATAACATAACAGAGAAACTCTTTCTAAAAGTTATTAGAAAAAATCCTTTATTTAACTGTGCCTAATGCTTTGGGGTATCTCAGTGAACTATGCCTTTAAAGACAAATGGTTATATACTAATATCTTGGCCCTGAAATTTTGGGGTCTTCTTTTGAATTGAATGAAAATTCATTCAACAAAACAAAATTGTTTTGTTTTTCTGTAGTCCAGAAAAATTCTATCTTTATTTTCAAGTTACCTTAAAACTTTAACATGCAAATTTTACTTAGCTAAATCTGAATTTCATCAGTAGTATTAACTTCTGAACAATATGAAGACTTTATAAAATGCATTCATTCTGATTTCCCCTCCTGACTTAACTTGCTATTATTATCATCCAGATTTTAACTCCATTTGCATTAAACCCACAAATTAGGCATCATCATCATCATCCTGTTTAGATTTTCTCACATTCACCATTTTGTTTGCTAATCATCCCTTCTTGTATTCAGAGCTTCTGGAATCAAACCCTAGTTCCTGTCATTTTGGACTGGTTGGCAGTCTCCAGGACAATCAGATAGTTAGTTGCCTCAAGAGGAAAATGAGAAGAGTCCTGGGAAATATGCCCCCTCTCCCCCACAATGCTACCTCCTGCACCCCCAGAACTAGGGGCATCCCTGTGTATTTCCTCCTACCCTCTAATTAGCGTGTTTTATGGTGTAGAGAAGAACAAGGAAATCTGATAGAATACTAAAGTTAAATACATTCAATTTGAAGAGCTGTCATGTTTTTCTGAGATCATATTCTTCCTACCCTTTTTGCTATTAAAATTATCTTCATTTTAGGGGCGCCTGGGTGGCTAAGTCGATTAAGCATCTGACTCTTAATTTCGGCTCAGTTCATGATCTCAGGATTGTGAGATGGAGCCCTGAGTCTGCCTCTGCTGGGCATGGAGCCTGCTTAAGATTCTCTTTCTCCCTTTGTGCCCTGCCCCCCATCTTAAAAAAAATCTTTATTTTATAATATAATGGTGATGGTAGTTGAAGTTTGGGTTTTTTTTAATTAATTAAATTTTGTTTTAAAATTTTTTTACTTGGCAAATACAACATTGCCAATCACAACCCAGATTTTCTGAAATTTTATGGATCTTGAAATCCCAAGCCACTGCTGTAGACAGCTACCTGTGATTTTGAGTGTGGATATTGGGTCACCTGAAAATATGTCCTCTTGGTTACATCAGGGACCTTAGTGGTTTTTCAGGTGTATACAAATCCTACAGTGTTTTTTTTTTTTAATCTTTTATTTATTTATTTGAGAGAGAGAATGAGAGAGAGAGAGAGAGCACATGAGAGAGGGGAAGGTCAGAGGGAGAAGCAGACTCCCTGCCAAGCAGGGAACCCGATGCGGGACTCCATCCCGGGACTCCAGGATCATGACCTGAGCCAAAGGCAGTCGCTTAACCAACTGAGCCACCTAGGCGCCCCAAATCCTACAGTGTTAACAGTACTTTGCAACCTTTTATTGGGTTATCGAGCAGTCCTTAGTACTCTCCCAACAATTGAAATAATTTTTTACATAAGGCTGAATCTATACTAGCAAAATGTCTTGGGTACATCATGCACACCCCATATATATCTGGTGATGTTAATGTTCTCATTTTTTTTTTGAAGATTTTATTTATTTGAGAGAGGGAGAGAGTGAGCAGGAGGGAGAGGGAGTGAGAAACTGAAGGAAACTCCACGCTGAGCGCAGAGCCCAATGTGGGGCTTGATTCCATGACCTCAAGATCATGATCTGAGCCAAAACCAAGAGTCGGACGCTTCAACTGAGACACCCAGATGCCCTAATGCTCCCAGTTTTTTAAGAACATCATTTTGAGAGTCACATGATCTAAAATTTGGCCAATATCTTTGTCTGCCTTACTCATAATGTAAGGGGTTGGACTGTGATCCCCAAGTTTTTTTTCACCACTAATGTAGGTTGTGATTGTAGTTTTGCTGCCACTACCTTCATAGATGTTCTTTCCTCATCTCCCTGTAAATGGTCAGTATGAAGCCTACACAGAATGACTTGAGTTCTCATTTCCCCTTTGTAAAGAATGGTCATGTACAAATGCAGCCACAGTGTTTATTGCAAAGGGTTACACTTAAGAGTATTGTTTAATTGTCATATGCTTGACACTGACAGTCTTATTAGATGTTCAGTCATTACTATAATGTAGACAAATAATTATGGATTAAAGATGCACCAACTACAGATTTTAGAGATCTCTGAATTCATGACAAAGTTGTTAATTGGCAAGCTTGTTATTTCCTGTAAGTACAAGGAAAGGAAGTATTAAAAGTCATCATATTAATTTGAGAGAGGAAATTAACGTTTCCTAAACAATTCTCTTCTAGTGAAGGAAGCCTGTCCCCCAGAACAGAGCTGCTGCATAATATCGACCCAAACTTTGTGGATATTTCACCATGTGAGTACTTCATTTATCGCTACTAAACTCAATCTTTTTAGCTCGCAAAGACATTTTTATTGCCTAGTGTGTCTCCAGCCTCACTTTCTCCTTTTCCACTTGAGTTTGCTGTCCGGATAAACAGTTCTCCATAACACCTGTTGTACTGACCTCCCTGTGGCTTTGGTTCCGTGGAGGGTAAATGCTGTTCGTGGCCCTGCCACTTACTGGCTATATGACCTTCAAGCCATTTCGTCTCCCTGCCTCAGCTTTGCCATAGGATCTCAGAGGCTCCTGCTCACTGGGAACGTCATGTTGTTGTTGCTCTCTTCTCACCTGAGAGCTCCAGAGCCTTAGCTCTTAGGCCCTTTGTCCAGCCTCCATCATCAAGCCTCTTCTTGAGACTCCACAAAACAGTGCTCTTCCATTCCGTTCATTCTCTTGGGTGCTGACACCCCCTCCTTTCTAGACATACTGCCACCCCTTTCATTCATTCATTCTATTGTTCAGGCTTTCCTGACTTCCTTATCCTCTCCAGTCTGTGCCACAACCTGCCCCAGGATTTCCCTGCTCAGACAACAACCCCGCAGTGGTTGTGTGTCCACAGGCACTTAAGGCCCCACTCGCCCCACCAGCCGCCTCCAGCCAGTCCTTGCCCTGCTTGACACTTGCCTTTTCCAAGCATGATCGTCATGTTTTGTCTTGAATATGCTTTTCTCTGTGGCTGAAACACTTTTCCCTGCCCTTCCACAATTTTTCCTCATCCCTTAAAACTCAACACAAATGTCTCATGTATATGAATGCTTCTTGGAACCCCAGAAAGTCCTTCCTCAGCATCCTTTTGTATGTATCTGTGTATAAAGCCTTCAGCAAATTCTCTTGTATGTGCCTTCATATCCCACCAAGGTGAGAGCTCCTGGAAGTCAGGATCTATGTCTTATTTATCTTTCCATCCTCATAAGTTAACATGAATACCCAGCACTGGGCAGGCCCTCAGTGATGATTACTTGATGACTAATGCAAGGGTGCTGGGATAGAATTAGGACCAAAGTGGAAAGGAAAGGGCCTGAGGCAGGTCGAGATGGCTACAGTATGGAGAAATTGCTATTTCTATTGGAGTAACTTAAGTCAGTGAGAGAGGCAAGGGTGGTTATAGGTCTATATGGTAGCCGCTGGCCATATGTGGCTTTTAAACCCTTGAAATGTAGCTAACTGTGAATTGAGATGTGCTGCAAGTATAAAACACACATCGGATTTTGAAGACTTAGTGTGAAAAACGTGAAATATATCATAACATATATTTACTCATTGAAATGGTAATATTTTAGATATGTTGAATTAAATTTATTATTAATTTCACCTGTTTCCTTTTCCTTTTCTCTGTGGTTAATAGAGAATTTAAAATTACATGTGAATTTGCATTGTACTTCTATTAGTCTAGAAGGATTGTTCTAGCAGGTGCTAGGAAGTAATTGGATCAGCTGTGTAGGAAGAGCACAGACCCGTGACTACTTACTGTGGCCATGACATCCATGGTTTCTAACCTTTTCTATGCCCCAGCACACCAAAGGGGTGTGACACATTCTAGTCTAGAGCAGTGATTCTTAACCAGTGATATCAGAATCTCTGGGGGTGGCCAGAAGGGAAGAGGGGAGGCAGGAAGGGTTTTTAAAACTTCTAGGTAGTTTAATGCACTGCAAAACCCAGTATGACATCCAAGGATGCGCTGAAGATGCTGCACACATTGTAATGGTTGTCAGCTGTCCTTACTAAGTTCCATCTACAAATGAAAAGGTGCCCCCACTCACCAAGCTGAATTGTTCTTAGCATCAGAAATGGGGAAGGGGCGCCTGAGTGGCTCAGTTCGTTAGGTGTCTGAATCTTGGTTTGGGCTCAGGTCATGGTCTCAGGCACATGAGTTGAGCCCCACGCTGGGCATGGAGTCTGCTTAAGATTCTCTCTCTCCTTCTGCCCCTCCACCCCCCACTTGTGTGTGTGTGCTCTTTCTCTGGAAGGAAGGAAGGAAAGGAGGGAGGGAGGGAAGGAGGGAGGTTTAAGTTCTGTACTTCCGTGTAACCCGGCCACAGTGCTGCTGGCTGCCTGCCTGCCGTGGTTTTTGCTACCTTTCCCACAGTGCCCCAGCTCAATCCCAGCACAGGCACGAGGTTTCCCCAGTATAAAAGTTAAGGAGGGCATGGCAATCAGAATAGAGAATCATTTTAATTTTGCCACCCATAGTTTATAAGGCCTTAAGCAAGTCCCTCCACTTTTCTTCGCCTCAGTTTCCCACATATTGAATGACAGACTTACGATGACCCTTTACTGCTCTCCCAAATTCAGGGACATTTTCTGGCCTTCTGCTGCCGCCACCCTCTCCTTGAAGCCCACTCCAGGCCTCCCTGTTGGCCTTCCCTGCCAACCAGGCACTCTTGCTCTGACTCCTGCTTGTAATGACGGATATTTTCCACTGTTGGCATCAACATAGAACCACATTCACTGTTGGTTCGCAGAAACAGGACATCCACTTCTGTCTCTGCCTGCAAGTAGCAAAGTGCCCCTCCTCCTCACACACATGCAACACCTCGGGCTTTTCTCCCTAGTTTTTATGTTCATTTCAATCCACTGTGCAGCAGAAGGTAAAAAAAAAAAAAAAAAAAAGGAGAGCTATATTTGGGGACCCACTCTTTCACCGGAAGATGATACCAGCTCATCTCCTTTTCTATGCAGTTAATTGGGGGGGGGTTAAATCTAGCTCTAAGAAAATATGTATTTATAGGACAACAACCAAGTCTGTGAAGATTGAATTAAATGATGTCTCAGGTCCCTCCCAGCTTCAATATTCTGTGGGTCTCTGTATAAATAGGATCTCAAAGGAGCAAAGCTGCTGACTCAGTTTCTCTCCTTTTCCACCCTGCGCACATTACTAAGCAGTGATGTAGCCAAAAGCGTGGTTGTACGTAGATAAATACAAGTGAAAATGTTAGAAACATTATAAGTGCTAGAGTAATTTGAATTGTAGGATTTTATTATTACTACATCCTGCCCACTTTTCTGATCCCTGTTCTTTTTTTTTCAAGATTTTATTTATTTACTTATTTGAGAAAGAGAATGAGAGAGAGAGAGAGCATGAGGGGGGGAGGGTCCGAGGGAGAAGCAGACTCCCTGCTGAGCAGGAAGCCTGATGTGGGACTTGATCCCGGGACTCCAGGATCATGACCTGAGCCGAAGGCAGTCGCTTAACCAACTGAGCCACCCAGGCGCCCTCTGATCCCTGTTCTAAAACATCACTGCATCAATCCACTTTAACGTCTGCCCTCTCCCCTTTAGTGGGTCTTGTTGGGGGTTGTGGACCAGTGTCTCCTCCGATCATGAATAAGAGGAACAGGCGTTAGACGTTTCCCAGGGGAGCCCTGCCTTCTAAGTAGTACCACATCCCCTCAGAAGCTGGGCTTTTGGGGTTTATTCTTTACTCTTATTCTTAGAGTACAGGGCGCCCCCAGAGGCCCTTCCTACTGGTAGAGTTGGGGCTTTTTTCATGGCTGCATACTCTTGGTACATTGTGGGTTGGGTGTGAATAATAAAGATATTCCCAGAAGACTGGGACAGACACGGGCACACACCCGAGGTCATAGGGTTTCCCAGAGACCCAGGAGATTATGCAGTAAAGGATGAACGGTCTCAACCACAGATCACACCCATTGGAATGGCTGCTATGAAAAGAAAAGAAAGAAAGAAAAAAGGAAGGAAAAGAACAAGTGTTGGTGAGGACATAGAGAAATGGGAACACGTAGGCACGTTGGTGGGAATGTAAAATGGGAATGCGCTGTTGGTGGGACAAAGGGATAAGTAAAATATGGTATATGCATACAGTGGGCTACCGTTCAGCCTTAGAAAGGAAGGAGATTCTGGCGCGTGCTACACCATGGATGAACCTTGAGAACGTTTGTGGATTAAGCCAGTCACAAAAAGACAAATACTGCATGATTCCACTTAAACGTGGTACCTCGTATAGTCAAAATTATGGAGACAGAAAGTAGAATGGGGGCTGCCAGAGGCTGGAGGGGGCGAGATGGGGAATTCATGTTTAATGGGTGTAGTTTCAGTTTTACAAGATGAAAAGAGTTCTGTGGGGGGATGTGGTGAAGGTTGCACAACCATGTGAATGTACTTAGTGCCACTGAACTGTACATTTAAAAACAGCTAAAATGGGGCGCCTGGGTGGCTCAGTCGGTTAAGCGTCTGCCTTCGGCTCAGGTCATGATCTCGGGGTTCTGGGATCAAGCCCCGCATCGGGCTCCCTGCTCAGCGGGAAGCCTGCTTCTCCCTCTCCCACTCCCCCTGCTTGTGTTCCTGCTCTCACTGTCTCTCTCTGTCAAATAAATAAATAAAAATCTTAAAAATAAATAAATAAATAAAAACAGCTAAAATGGTAAATTTTACTTTTTTTTTTTTTTACCACAATTCAAGATAAATAAATGTAAAATGTAAAACCAGAGAAAAGCATAGAAATTCATGAGGCCGGGGTCTATATCTTTTTCATTTACTGCCGTATCCCCAGTGCATAGCACAGAGCCTGCCGTCCTAGCCATTTCTCGGCAAATACTTGTTAATGACTCATAATAGATCATCGGGTTAAAGTCATTGTCTTACTGTCTCTTAGCCTTTCCTGAACCTAAAGTACCTCCCGAAGGCAATTCACACCCACCTTTTAATCCCTGAACTCGCACCTTACATTTTGTTCCTACATAAAAATAATTAAAATTAGGAAGTGGCTGGTGACCATTAATATTATCATATACAGATATTAGAAACTACTCACCCAGTTTATAAATGCCCACCCTCAGTCTTGCCTGCATTGAAAATATCAGCCAGAAGAGAGGATGTGGGATTTCTCTAGATCTCCATGAGAGACAAACATATATGCTTATAAAGCCCCTGACTGTGTGCTCGGCTCAGCCTGACTTCCCCTCAGAGTCCAGGGCCCTGCTCCTTCTTGCTCTTCTCGCTCTTTGTGCTCCCCT